ATGGTAAACGATGTTATTTAATGCTAGTGAGGGTTTTGTTTCAGTGTACTGCAGGTAGGCAGCCGTACATGTTTGTGCTGGTAGTAACCACAGTGGTGGTAAATTTTGGTCTCAACGGTTGTGGAATCAGTTTGAAAGTTAGACGAGGCTAACAGTGGCCTTCCTTGGTAAGACACTGAGACACTTCACTACTGGTTAGCCGTTGTGACGGCGAGTAAAACTATACAAATATTGCTATGCTAGGCCTAATTTTTGTGAGTACTCATAATTATTATTGTATAGGTTCATTTACTCATGTATAGTGATGTGTAAGCTTGGGGTTGTTTAATTACGGGGATTGTTGTTACCATGTTTGTAAATGGGGTACGCTCTGTAGAATTATGTATTGTTTTATTTAAAGACTTTGTGGAAGGGCTTGACTATATATAGACCAGTATTGGTTGAGTTTCGAGAAGACTGGATGCCGTGTTGTGTATCGTCGCTTCATTCAAGCCAAGTCTGTTGAAACGTGTATATGAGGAGACGAGCGAAGCTGTACGCATCTGAGGTCGTTCACGTCAGAGGAAGTGACTTGTGTAAACATAGACGACCGGAGCTGTACGCATCTACCTTTGGGGTTATGTTAAATCCATTCATATATTACATTTGATAGATGAGTTGCGCCTCTTCCACTAACCTTTCGTGACAGTAACCCCCTCCCAAATGAGATTTTTTTTTTAATACGGACCGGAAAATGAAATAACTGTGTCAGGGAACTTTGTGATTAAATTGCAAAAAATAATAAAATTATACTTGCACTTTTATCCAATTAGATGCCTGGAATAGTAGTTTAGTTAATGGAAACTTATATTTTATTACCGTTCACATAAATACAAATACTTAATAACACTTATTTATTAATTAAAATGACTTTAAACTATGCACTGAATAGTAAATAAACATAAAGTAGAAATAAAAATAAATTACACATGAACAATGTTATTATAAAGATATATGAAAATTATTTTCTTTTCTATGAATTGCAATGGTTTAATTTTTGTACAATGGTCCATGATAGTTGGACAGGACAATTTACTCAATGTTAGATACAGTATCTGGTCCAAAGTATCAAACCATTCCCTCAAAGATTTTAAACCCTCTATTTTTTAATTTTTAGACCAAAACCAGTGACCCTGAATTCTTAATTCCCAAAGATACTCTTGAATTACAAGCAGAAATATATAATTCATTTTTCACACCTTCATTTGGACATGATTGTTTGACAAATTTACAATGTCTTATACGTACACTTTCTATATGTTTGCAGTATTTATATCCCCAAAGTTAAGACCAGTACAATAATATTGGAGTTACTTGTCTTTCAAACAGTTGTAATTGTATTTCTGCAGATGTAAACCATAATTTTGAAATTTTATTTCTTGCATTAAACAATACTCTTTTCCCCTTTTCTGCCTGAAGGTTTGACATGATGCTCCATTTTCCATTAAAATTAAAATGAAAACCTAGATATTTATATTCTTTAATGATTTCAAGCTTAACCCTATCCAGATATATATCTCTTCCTAACACTCCTCCATTTCGAAACACCATAGCTTTAGTTTTTAATTTATGTATTTCTAGTTTGTTAATATTGCAGTATTGTTTAAGTACATTCTAATATACGTTTTGGGATACGTTTTAAAATATTTGAAGTAATTGAATCAATTCCTGATGATTTATTACTTTTTAGTTTACTGCTTTCTATTACTTTGTCTTGGGTTATGTCATTTTGTAATTGTTTACTTTCCTCATCATACGTTTTATCTGTCGTGTCCTTTTGTCTAGTTTCATATGTACTCGGTGTTTGGATGATTAAATATTGGTAGCTGATCAGATTAACACATAATATTAAAAAATTATTATTAGAAAGTATTCACTACCAATTACGTACTCAATTACACTTTTTCCTTGATGGCCAAAAAATGTAAAGAAACCTATTCCTTCATCATTCCCAATCCTGCCATTTAAAATTGGCAATTTATAATTTTCAGAAATCAATAAGTTTTTTCCCATATGAGTTTATAAATTTATCCATTGAAATTTGTTTACTAGTATAAAGGTCTGTGGATCATTAATATCTATATTTTCAGATTCTGGATTATTACTTAAGTCATCTAGCTCAGCAGTCCTAGAGTTGAAATCTCCAGCCAATACAAAATAACTTTCACCATAATTACATTCAATTTCAAGTATATCTATTTCTAATTGTTGGTATATGTCAAATTCAAACCTTGACCCTGTAGGTGGTGCATAAACACACACTAAAAATATATACATTCCTTTATATCTCTCATTAAATTTTAACCAGATAATATGATTACATTTTCTATTAATTTCTGTTACAATTATGTTGTTTTTTTATTAATAGGGTCACCCCCCCACCCCAAAATTCCTCAAAAAAAGTTTTGTTTCCCTTTATTATTCAAATAATATTAAAACTCTAAAGTATAAACATGACCATAGGCAGCATGGTTTAAACATTGGTTGGGCCTGCTAAGCACTTTGTGAGGGAGCGAGAATCCGAGGGAGAGGGAAGAGGGTCATTAAGGATCGCCAGTTGGAGTCCAAGGGGAAAAGGCCCTCAAAGAAATAGTCATTTTTTTACATTGTCAGATTAATTATGTAATATTATATAATGTAGTCTCCTATAATATATTAATAACTTCCGACAACAACCAATCCATCAGCCTGTTTTGTCAAAATCAATATTCAAACTCTTTTTGGGAAACTATTGGTAGGCCTATAGGGGGGTTTGCCATCCCACTAAAATTTGTAAGTGGATTTAAGCCCACCTGACCCATTCTATGTCGTTGCAGTAAACCAGACCCTGCAGGGACTGCGGATCCATACAAGCAAATGATGGAATACACTACTGTAGTGGAAGTTTTTGGTAAAACATGTTAGAAAATATGAAGAAATATGAACTACAGTATATAAAAATATACTCCCAGTGGCAAGTGCATGTACAGCTTGACATAGGTTTTTATTGTGGCTACTTTTAATTCCTAACCATCCATGCTTTCTGTGTTGGCAATTTTCACTTGAATAACTAATGTTAACTGTTTACACAATGTTGAATGTTTAGTTCTTTGTAGGACAGGTCTTATCTAGGCATGAGCATCATATTTTGTAGGCTTCTTACAATCTGCGTGTCTACATGGGGGCTGCAGACAAAGAAATAACAATATATAAACAAAAAAGTGACTTTTGTAGAATGCAAGCCCGTAGCCAGAAATTAAAGAGGGGGGGTTCTTTTTTAGATAAAAGGGCACTTCCAAGCGAAGCAAGCACACCAGGCTGGGGGGCAGGGGGCCACCGAGGGCCCCTGGTGGGGTCCAGGGGGCGAAGCCCCCGGAAGCTACAGCATTCTTTACATATACACACCTTATTTAATTGCTCTAATATACACCCATCAGCAACAACAAAAAGAGCAAATTATTTTAGTTACTGGCAAAATGACATGATCCTGGTATGGTACAATCTCAAAATTGTAATCATAAACAGTAAATTTGCCTCCTTTTGGATGTTGTTTTGTACCAACTAATTTACACATTAACAGAAGAAAAACAGGAAACAAAGATTATTAAAAAAAAAAAACTGCTAGGCTTGAAAGAATAAAGATTTCTTACTTGTTTGTTGTCAATAACCAGACCACGCGCAGCGAACACGCTCAACTCAGAAAGAAGGGTAAAGGTCAAGTTGTTGTTCGACACAAGAAGCGAACTGTGTCCGAAATCTCGACAAACGTGTTAGTGGGGGCGTTCAAACTGGTGGTTGCCTAGATGCGAAACGCGTCTTTTAAAAAATAGTCTGTATTTATATTGACAGAAACTCGAAAAACTCATTAGTGTTGCGTTCGAATCGGTGATTGCCTAGACGTGACGCGAAAGTTTTTTATCTTCTACATAAAAATAAATACAACCTAGTAGCAGCCAGGAGACCTACGCTGGCCTATACATCGGCTGAATAAGCTAGCAGAAAGGGGATGTAAAATGTCTTTAAAAAAATGATTTACTCATTATGTAGGTTACATTTTAGGCCAAAATATCGTCGTCAGCTTAGCTAGGCCTTACTTGTTTGGGGTGAAAAGGAAAACTTTCTTGTGTTGTAGAGGCTAGCACTTTTAGTCAAAAAAGGGCACTTCAGGAAAAAGGGGGGGTTCGTTCGAACCCTACGAACCCCCCTGGCTAAGGGCTTGGAATGCTATATTTTCAGCTAATAGAAGTAAAATTTTAGCAGCTGGGTTTATTTTAATTTCATTATTGCAAAATTCATCTACATACCAATATGGACTAGTTTTCCCTCATTCATTTCAAAATAAGGAGTTTGTTCCTCAGTCCGTAATATCTTGTTTGAGGTACTTTGACCAAGGTCAAGATCGGCATACTGAATTTTTTCCTACAAAATATTATACATAAACAAATAAATTCACATAAAAGATACCATGTGGTTGTAGCAATATCTGGTATATAAGGTTCTTTTATGATGATCCAAGCTTCCAGCAAGGCTTCTGCCGATATGAAGAACTAAAACCATAACTATTGGTTGAGTTCCCATCGACTAAATTTATATTAAGTATATGTAAGTAGCATTAATTAAGAATTTAGGTTAAAATTTCCCACACAAACAAAATATATTGATTTCTTTCTTCGAACAAGGTGTCATTTGTAAATATGTATTTAGTAATGTAAATTAAATTTAACATAAATATGGAAGAAGAATAGGAAAGAAATTTGGAGCGGCTGAAATATTTACCGAATATAAAAAATAATAATCATTTTATCATTATTGAAAAGTTCACATTCATGGTTCACCTATGACTAAGCCTTGCTGGAAGCAGGTAAAATGTCAAGTCATCACTCTAATACGTTTACTTCATAATTGGATCAACATAAAGAACCTTATACTAACTTGTTATCGGATCCAATGAAAATATGCTTAAAGCCTGGCTCCAGAGGAAAACACTTTTTTATATGTTGTAAAATACAAAAAGGGGGAAAAACTTTAAACAGTAAATAACATACAGATTTTTGAAAATTTAAAAACTTGGAGGAGATTGTGGTTACACCCATTTTACCCCAGTTGTTAATAAAATTCAAAAATCTGTATTTAATAACCGTTTGAGTTTTTCATCAAACACCCATTTTGTGTCTTATAAATATCGGTTGTACAACATATCAAAACATTTTTATTTTCTTTCTAGAACTTGCCTTTAATACTCTCAACCAATATTTCAATATGAACTCAAATATGGTAGCGAGCATACCACTATATTTATAACATGATGCAATATACTTTCATTATCACTTTTATTGCTACAGTACTGTACACAGTATTACTACAGTAGATATATAATTGGTTTTCTTGATGCTTAGTAATTATGTAACAGAGAATAAATACACCATTTGCGTATTAAGACCCAGACAGCACCTCCAGAAAGTCTCTTTCTAATTATATATCCCTCCAAATAAAGACCACTTACAGTTGTAAGACTATTTTTCTGTGGCCCCAAATGTACAACTGTCTTTAACCTTTATTCTAAAGATTAAAGCTGCTAAAAGCATAGAAACTCCGATCCTAAAAGTGGTCATTAATTGGAGGGAAGCCTGCATCTGTGTGGAAATGGGCACCAATTTGACCATGAAAAAAAAAACCAGTAGATGCGAGGCAGAATAATAAGTAAAAGGGATCACATTGGTATCCCAATTACTATTCAAGTGTAAATTATTCAAAAACTGTAGATGCCTGGCAGGATATTTTATTAACAGGCAAGGATCGCATTGCTTTTCATATTCATCTGTAGATTATTCAGAAAAAATGGAATTTATTAAATCAGACATTAAAGAAATAAAGAATATCATTAATTACACACTGTGCTTTAATGATTCTCTTTTAGTTAGTTTATATATACTTTTAAATACCGGTATATATTTAATGTTGAGACCAGGTGGCACAGAGAGAAGTTCACTATGTTTGGGTGTGAGCTCTTGTTGCTATCTCTTGGTGCCTATTCAATTCTTTAAACTGTTATGGGACTTTATGCCAAATGGTTAATACATTTTAATGAAAATAAACTACAAGAACCAAGAAAGCAATTGTTGAAAAGGGCTTTTGAGGAGGCTCTTGATTGGATGGGGGCATTTGTTCGAGGGAGGCGTTTATTTAATTTTGTGTAAAATTGAAAATGGCCCTTAATTTCACTGTAAATGTGGAACTACAAAAATGTGTTATTGCGTGAACATAAAGAATTATTGATCTCAATCAGGTGTCGAGAATTATTTTGCTTCCATTACCTTTGTTTACGGTCACCTTTTTTTCCCCTTTTTTTTTGGGGGGGGGGAGGGAGGTGTTTATTCGAGGAAAAAGTAAATGCACCGGGGCGTATATTTTGCAAATGTGGAACAACAACACATAATTACTACCAATATGCGTTATTGCGTGTTGCAAGACTTATTGTTCCCAATTGAAGATGCCATTGGGCGTATAATCGAGGGAGGTGTTTATTCAAAATGAAGCTGTTTATTCCAAATAAGGATTAGAGGGGAATTTATATGAGGATGGGGGCATTTATTTAAATGTTTTTTATATTAGTTTATCAACATTTTATAGTGAGAATATAAAAGCAATGTTACATGAAACCAAATGAGATTTTAGAGAAAAATCCACAAAGATGATGTTTGTGCCGCAACTTACTGATGGCAAATTTCTTGGCTGCTTCTTCTTTCCGGATGATCCTAACATGACAATAAACTCTAATTATTATTACTGATAATTTAATTGTGCATCAATATTTAAATTGATGCAAGCTATGTATTTGTGCAGCTTTTGCTTCTTTTTATATTTTTAAAATTTATTAAAAAGCATAAAAATAAGTTGCTTCTACAAAATGTACTCAAAAAGTTTAAATAAATACATAAATAAAAGACTAGAAATAAATAAAATATATTTTTAAAAAATGAATAAAAATATTAAAAAAATTAAATGAATAAATCAAAAATAAAATCAAATAAATATATAAATGAAAATCAATTTCATTCTTAAATAACACCATTTTCATCACTAACTTTCTGCAAATGTTGGTTTGATTGTTGGGCAAAATGTTTTGGGCTTCCGAAAAATAGCAAAATTATTTAGCGGCCAAGAAACAGTATTATTTATCCATTAACTCAATGTAAACATTACTACAAAAATTCCTATGCTCATGAATGTTACATACTGTATTATGTGGAATATATTGTATTCTACAGAAATAAAATGTGTTTGGTTGAATAAAATTATGCTTTCATATTTATTATGAATTTCTTTTTGCCCTAAGTCACAAAGGTCATTGAGGGCGCAATTTGGGGAACGACCTCTATCGCACGCCCCTCCTCCTCAGACCTAGGCCTACATAGGCCTATTTGTAACTAGGGTGGTCTATTGGACCTACGAAATGTTTCACTAAAACTAGTAAATTGATGAAATAATAATATAATAGAGAAGATGGGGTAGGGATATTGAAATATAAGAAGTATAGGAGGGGGGGGGGGGGGTGGTCCATGAACATGACCTAGGTCTAGAATACTGGTTGCACTGCTAGAAGTTTCTAGTAAAAATCTTTACTCAGAATCGTATTCAGGTTTATTTATTATGAAATCAATATTTATGAATTGTTATTCTCATCCCGCTATCCTGGACTATTCAAGTACATCACTCACTAAAAAAAAAAAAAATTGCCAATTTTTCCTCCATATGGTGGAGGAAAAAATGGAGTTACTATGATAATAGGAAAATACCCTAAAAGTGTGAGCAACAGAGGGCAGCATTACTAAAACAAGAGGAGAAATCATCCTGTACCGTATATGGGCCTAGCATACTGAGACTCAAATTTATCCCGTATGAGATACAGGTCAGAACCTCAAAGGGTTAATTATGAAATCAATCTTTTGCGAGTCAATGGTAAAGTTGTCTAATAATAAGTATCATTACAGCAGAAGTTTTTCAAATATTAGAGACTAAATTTAAAGCAATAAAAAAGTTTGCCCTCCAATTTAAGACCACCTTCGGGACTTGAAAATTAAAAGATTAAAGACTTTTAGTTGGTTCTTTAAAAAAATTGGTCTCCAATTAGAGGGGTCTCAGAATTAGAGGGATCTTGACTTGGAGAGTGCACAGCAGTTGAAACAATGGAAAAAAATATGGACAATAAGTGGCACTAGTTATACACTATTTGTCCAGGAAAGCAGAAATCATAAGCAACTCAGGGCCTTTTTTCAGTAGACTTAATTCAAGATTCAAGATTCAATTATTATTGCCATACATAATACATATATTACATATACCGTACTCGCCCAGTTTGAATAAGCGCCCCTCTCGAATAACGTGAAATTTGTCTTAAGCGCCCCGTTTAAATACGCGTCCCTCCTAATTTGAATAAGTGCTTCTCAGTGTTTATTCATTTTTTAAAACAATATCTTCTGATAGATTTTTTTTAGCAAACAATAATCTAACTAATCCTGAGACTGATTTGAGCTGTGGAGTGGATTCGCATTTTTCATATTATGTCAATTTCAACACAAGGATATTTATCCTGGACAGATGAGAGCTACCTGGCCAGTATCTTTCCAACTTTCCTCTTCTTACATTTGTCTTCTTCCAGCTAATCTTAATTGGCTAATGGCAAACAAGCTCATACACCACCACCTTGTTCAACCTTGTTTAATTCCATGTGTATATATTTTTATATTATATATATTTATTAATATATCAGTTAAATGTTGTCTTGCTTTCTTTCGGTACTGAGGTGTTCATAAAAGACTCTTATTGCACACTCAGCTTGCGACCCACAACAAAATGTTGTCTTAACCAGCTGGGATATGTGGGTGCAGGATTGTGGTAATTTCTTTACTTTATTGCTCTGGCTATGTTCTTGAACAAAAATATCTAACATAATTTTTTTTCATAACTACAGAAATATTTTGAAATATTCATATTTTAATGCAAGAGAATTATTTTCAAATTGAATTAAAATCATTATTGATTTGAATGAATGAAGTGAAATAAAACAAAGATTTTTATTTCAAGCCTTTAGTGGACGTTAGTGGATTAACGTCTCCACCCCTGGATGCATAGTTTGATTAGTATGGTGTGTTTGGTTACTAGGCCCTTTTGAAGTAACCTCACTATTCCTGGATACACAGTTTAATTACAGAGGGGCATGCGAGTCACTAGGACATTAGTGGAGTAATGTCCCTACCCCTTGATGCATAGTCCCTTTAGGCATACTGGTATTTTTTTTTGCATACGTTTGTGCATAAGCTGTATAGAAGGTAATAGCCATTCACAGATTTCATAGCAATAAAAGATTGAAATAAATTGATTTAATTAATATTCAATTTTTATATGTTTAGTTTGTTATTTACAAATTTTGTAATATTAAACATATATTGCAAAAATGAGCTAAAGCAGAAACAATGTCATGTAGGTTTTCTACCATGATCTATTTCAGCATAGGACGTAGTTTCATCAGTACGAATCACTCGTGATGGAGAAGATGGGCTGAGATTAAGATCAGCATAAGTAATTTGACTCTGTAAAAAGAGTTTGTCATGAATAAAATGTATGCATCAACTCAAGCAATGCTCATGAAGTTTCCTACTACAAATTAGTTTATCCATGTATATGAAATCACAAAATAGCAGTAATATTATTTATTGTTATATATAAAGGTTTCTTATCAGTATTTTAATCACAGATTTTATTATTTCTTGTAAATGAAGTATTTGTGTAATAACCTAAAATGAAATAAAAACAAATCCATTAAGCAGAAAAAAGTTCTGTTGACTAAATAGAAATTTCAGTTACCACAAAATTAACATCTTTAGTTTTGCCTCTGAGATACAGTACTTATTTATCCTTAATTATTAATAATGACTACTTTTTTGCTTTGATCATGCAAAACAAATAAAATTAATTGTACAATTCATACTGTTGAATGCTTACGGTTTCACAACTGTTATCTTGTTCCCCTTGATAAAAAAAAAAGTCACATGAAAGATTATATACTAAAGTAGATGATAAATGTCAATAATTTTGAAAACTCAAGATGATTAAGTTATGAACTTAATTACTCAAAATGTAATTGTCTTTAAGTGCTATGATAGAGAATCAAAAAGGATTGTTTATTTTGACACAATGTGAGATATGAATGTGTAGCACTTCATTGAATCTTGACCATAAGTCATATTGTATTTTAAAAAGGAAAAGAACATCAACCTAAAATAGCTTACAATAATTATATTTTTCCATCAAAGGCAAGTAAACTAATGCCGAAAGTCTTCCCTAACACTTATCAAGTACAAAAATGTTATATCAGCACACTTCTCTTAATAGCACACAAAATTTTCATTTATGTTGATCACCATAATTATTAAAATTACTATACAGTATTAATAATCGTGTCTAGTGTAAATGTAGTTTAAGTTTAGGGATTACCATATGTGCAAGGTGTTGTATACTAATGCGATCCTATGGGTTGCAGTGGTGGCACCAGCTCTTCAGATCCCCTACAGGGTGCTGGTACCTCCGACCCCAGATAGGGGGTGACTCTTTAACTTGCCTGGTTTTCTATCAAATTTTAAATAAATATCCCATAATTAACACAAAATTGTATTATTTTTCAATATAGAAATTCCCTCAACCAATGAAATGTTTCCCCCAGCCAGGGGGAACAATGTTTGGGCGTGAACCCCGTCGAGGAGCTTAGACCCCTCTTCGGGGAGGTTGGACATCTCTTCGGGGAATTACTGGCGCCGCCCCTGGCCACATGGACCTTAGACAAAAAAAGTAATCACCATATGATATGGAAATCCCTTTCAAAAGACACACAACCGCAATGCACATCCATTATCAGAAAATGTTGATGGTGCATGCAAAGTAAACCATGTTACCCAAAAAATTATACAATTGGAAGCCAAGACATGGAAAACACAGACCAGGAAGATCTAAAACAAATGGAAAATGTAATCAAATGGGATCTAGACAGACTTAGTTATAGGTGAACTGTGGAGGAAGCACACCAAAAGATCTGGAAGTTTCTCTCAAGTCAAGCAGCAGGTGCAGAAATATGCATGATGCTGTCTAGTACAGTCAGTAAATGTATTTGCATTTAAACTTTACATGTCAAATGATTTTTAAGTTACTACAAATAAGCAAATAAGAACAGTTATATTACATGTTATTCAGTGCATACTTTAAGCCATAATACATTTTACATAAAATTAGTTCATAATGAAATGAGAAATATGGAAGTTGGAACAAATAGAATCAAGTTTACCTTTATCATCAGAATTGGTGGAGGTCAGAAGTTGACTTTCTATGTTGCTATTCTTTGTTGACTTTGAAAAAAAAATGTATGAAAATGATATACTGTTGTTAATCAGCAAGTTTTCTAAATAGGTATACAAAAAAGCCAGGAAATATATGCAGTGAGGTATTAAATTCCATGCTCTTGCTATATGCTACATCTATATTTATACTTTTATTTTTAATAGTTTTATTTTCCTTTTCTGCATTAATGTTTTGATATTACTTTTGATGTTAAGTTTTATATTATTAAAGGGGAAGGGTAAATATTTGCATTGTTAGAGAGAAGAGGGAAGAAGGGTACTTAGTATTTTGTATTGTTTTTTTGTGTTTTGTGTTTCCGAAGCACCTTTCTTTCCAAAAGCCTAAATAAATATTATTATTATTATTATTATTATTATTATTATTATTATTATAATACTGTACAGCTTGTTGTCTTAAAGATGTACTGTCCCTTGCAAAAAACAAAAAACAAAATAATAAAAATCATTTTTGAAATTTACTTGCCCATTTTGAAGTAACATAAAAATTATCAACTTGAACATAGAAATTAGTGTATTTAAAAATGCTTACCCATAAAAACCATGATTTTATAGCGAAAAAATGATAGAAACACTTCCAGTCACTGGAAGTGTTTTATTATCTTTATTATAATTATCCAGTTAAAAAATCAGGGAATACATATTTTCAATTTAATAATTTCTATGCTCAAGTTAATAATTTGTATGTTACTGCAAAATGAGTAAGTTAATTTAAAAATTCTTTTTTATGATTTTGGTCATTTTCAAGGGACAGTACATCTTTAAATGTTATGTACATTAAAACATACTATAACATACAATGTTCACACAGGCCTCTTCTTCATTGGGGTCATTGTTACCACAGTGATCCTCACCATCAGCAATTCCTCTTTCACAGTCTTTTTCTTCCAGCTCGAGTCCCTTATAATGTTTACCCTCACTAAAAAAGATAACAATTTAATTATTTCTCCTATACTGTACACAAAAAATTCAAAAATGGAATAAAACTGATTGGTATACAACACACCTATATGGACACAATATTTAAAACCAGACCTCTGCGGGGGCCGGGGTTCTTATGCAGCCATTGTCAAAATATTACAGTTGAACACATTTTAAGATGTACCTCTGCATTTTATATTACACTCTTAGTTACTACTGTTTTTAAAATATTTTACCACTTTCAATCATTCTATTTGAAATTATGCTGCTTTCTCAGAACTGAACACAAATTATTTGTTATGAATTTTATTAGAATGAAGCACGTTTGCATGCAGAACATTCACATTTGTCTAATATGAGAATGTGGTGAGGGCTTTTTAAGTGAATACAGTAGTCCATTAAATGTTTGACTACAAAAGTACTGCATTAGTTTTAGTTGGAATTTAATAATAAAAAATAATAAAACCTTCAAATATAATAAATATAATTTAACACAGATAAAAATATATTAATTAAAAAATGACCAAAAAAATCTCTAAAAACATCTTAAATATAGGACAGGAAACAAGTATTAACTGTTGTATCTGGCAATTGTATAATAAAAACCGAAAATAAAAGATGAGGAGTGAATACTATTTAATAACTAACCTATTTTTACTTTTCTTTTCCAAGTCACCATTTTCATCTACAATCATGAAAGCAAATAGAGATAACAAAATTAGTTTAAAAATAATCTCATGTTATGACCACTTTAGATAGAAAACCTATTATAACATAATAATAATAATAATAACTTTATTTTAAAAAGGAGAAAACTTTTATCACCATATTGGTGTTTTTCACAGGGCCGTTTTTGCAAGAAGATATCAATGAAATGATGAAACTTAAATTAAGAAAAAAAAAACACATACAAACATATTGGAATACATATTAGCAAAGAAATGTAAACTACTAAATTATTAACATTATAAAAACAAGACTAAAAATATTAACATTATGAAAACAAAAGACTATAAAAATACAAAAGGCTAAAAAAAGTGTTGTCATGATAATGTAGAACAGTTTAAGATTTTTTTTGTTCATTATTAAAAATATTTAATCTTCTCAGTTTATTAGTCTTTTAAAAGGATAAATATTAGGAGCAGTTGTTACAAAATTATTTAAATTATTTAGGTTATTCCAGATTTCTGCCCCAGATAACACCATAAACATTTCACTTTATTTATTTTATTGACCATCAAAATACATATACAGAAAAGATATAATGAATAATTCTATCAGGTGATTGGCAGCTGAAGAAATTACTATGGCTCACAAAGTTACTATAGCCAATCAACGTAAAGTAACTTACATTTTCCAAAGTATTCAATACAACAAATTCCACAAAAGTAGAAACAGCAACGGAGAATATACTTGAAGAAAAATGTAGTATTACTGCAGAGCTTGGGAGGTGAACCAGGTTTTCCCTGTGTTTTCCATTCCTCCTTGTTTTTCTCTTCATTTTTTACTGCTAAGTCCCACTGGAAAGTCTTAAAGTGGGCGATACTAGGACGATATTTTTTTCTCATTGCAAGTGATACGTCGCCTTCTACTGCTGTCATATCTTCACCTTTCATCTCAATTTTCCTGCAAAATATAAAGTCTGCAAAAAACAATTTAGTTAAAAAATAATTGTGAATAATGTTCTGAAAACTCATCTAAATAACAAACTTAATTCTGATTTAGAGTTAACAGAATTACAAAATAAAATGTCAAAAAGTATGTAATATTCAACAAATATTTGAAACACTTTTTTAATAATTGTATATTTCAGTTTAGATTATGTAATATTTGGATTTATATAATGCATTATATTGAAATCTCGAAAGTGTTCAAGGTGTGGACTAGCTCATACAGTAACTTGTTTCTCAACTAAGGGTATTTCCCTGTACCTGGTAAACAGATACAAGTTAATCACATCTGTCCTCAACAGGAGCTGTATGGACCAGTACAAAAGAAATTGTGAAAGATGTACTGGGTTCTTTAAATAAAGTGCACATGAGCCGAGTTGTGTACACTGGGCCTACAGTTAATATTCCTTAACCGAGAAGACTTTTCACCACCAGAACCAATAGGCAAGTGTGCCGTTCAAACTAGGTCAATATTATGGCTGTACGTTGCGGCATCCTTTCAATAAGCCATTAAGGTTTCAAGTCTCTGCCTCCATGAGAAACAATGTAAAGTATAAAATAATAGTTGTGTTATGTGTGCAAGAATTCTAATAAGGATACTAAAAGTATGAATGCAAATAAATTCAAACTACCACCAATAATATACTTCAGCATATTTTTAGACTTCTTATAGAAAATTTCTACCAATCTCAGTGTGCACTAAACTACTCTTTGACTTGGACCCCATAAGAGTGGCTAGTCTAGTAAATTCTGACCTTTTATTTACTGTAGGTGTATATTCATACCTTATTTTTATAGCAAACATCATTTTTAAAGAAAAATGAGGTATAAAAAGTCTTGCATTAATTAGAAACAATTTCTGCGCAACTTACAAAGCAGAAACAGTATCCACAGTATGACAGGAATAACGAAAAGTGCATACAATGCTGAGTTTGAACCCTCTAAAAGAAAAAGATGATATACACATTTTAATTTAAATATATCTCAATTACTAGAAATATTGTTTCAACACATTTTTTAATTTAATTTTACAGTACTTACTTATCAACAATATTTCTTTGATATTTAGATCTAAAAACAATTCTAGTATTAGAAATTAAAGGCATAACAACAATAGGCGTATACCGTAGCATTAGAAAAGATGATCCATTAGATCACTGTTAATTATTTCACAAGTTTTCATAAAAAGACTGTTTATACAAAAACAGAAATATGCACAAACACACATACTAACATTCCTACAAACTTTGTTTTGTTGTGAATATTGGATTATTGTTTGACTAAAGTTGAATTTCATTAATTAAATTAAATACAAATAGCACAAAAATACAAGGCTTTATTCATGCATGTCACATGTTTTTGTGAAATCAAATTTGATAGTCTGGGCAGCGCTTTAGAGTTAGAATGACGAAACCACCTCATGTTTGGCATTAAAAATACTGTCTAATAGGCAGCTATGGATGAGGTTTGTTATGTAGGCGATGTAAATTAAAGAATTTGTGACATCAAGCTTCTACTACTTGAAAACCCCAATTAAAACAATCTACAAACAGAAACAGACACAACAAAATGTAGCAGTATACACCTCTGGCTTCTACATAAACATTTTCCTCAAAGAGCATGTCATATGACCCTGAACAAAGTTTATATCCCATAACCATTCCCTTTAAAAACATAAATCTGCCTCTGGTTCAGTATGATTTTATGGATTTATGAACCAAAAATTTTGAATATATGGCTCTAAAAAGAAAATAAATAAAACTGACAGGTTCAATATTCTTTATTAAGTTGTCTTTGTACTTCATATTTCTACTTTTATAATTAACGTCTGTTCATAACAAAATAAGTATCAATATAGCTATAATGAAATTGAAACAAAATGAAAACATGTGATGTATTACCTTCCTTGTGAAATGAAAATAGAAACAAAAAGCATATAGCAAGTAAACAGTGCAATAAAAAATGCAAACCAAATGTTGTTAATGATACCACAAAATTATTCCCTATTCCATTCTATTCCATACATCTCTATGTAGTCTTAACTGGTGCCATGCTCTTTACAGGGGATTACTGAAGGGAATTATTTTTTACTATTATGAAAAATAAATATGTTAATTGCTTTATTATTATTGTTATAATTTTCATGCATTAAAATTGTAGCAACAAAAATCATAAATAATGCATTTCTGTTAAAAAGTACTTTTCCTCACTTTATTTTTACCATTTTTAATCTTATTGTCTTTTACATCAACCTTGCTGCTATCTGAAAATTTCAATAAAATATTTTTAAATAAATAAATAAATTATTTCCATTTTGTTGGGACTTCTGTTTGTTTTAACATTTATACCAGTCTATGACAGGAAAGAATAATGTACCCCATAATTCTTCATTTTGTAGCAATACTTTTTACAGGGTATGCCCAAGATTAATTGGTGCCAAGTTCTGCACAAGCAGGTAGACCACCTGCTCTATATGTATGAACCCTACGTAAATTTTTACTGTTCTCTTCCGAACGAACTTTTGGTGCATATTAACTTTCTGCCTGCCATACACGGAGATCGTCGTGTCAACACGATTGACCGCCTGTATTTTCAAGAGTGTTGAACAGACCGAGTACTGGCATACTGTGACCTTACAGCAAGTTCATGGTCATTTGACAGTTTATGCTATATGCTGGCTGCATTGTTCATTGAAAACGACATGAATACCCTGTGGCAGATCCAGGAATTTAAAAAAGAGGGGCCCCAGGGAGGGATATTTACAGATGGAAGGTGTAGACTACCTCAGGCCCACTATGGTTAGGACTGTAGTACAACATTTTATGGCTATAGTACCACTAGATGGTGGAAAATGGCACTGTCTGACTTAAATTTTAGTACGTTTCGAAATTCAGGAGGCCCCCCCCCCCACAACACTTTGAATCTGCCAATGATTTTTTTTTTTTCTGCCTACATGTATTTTTATTAATAACAGTTTTACTATGTATTCTGGTTGTGATATGCAATGCATGGTACCACTAGATCTGTGAGTGTATAATTATGTTAATTTGTTTTTAAAGTACCTGCTACTTGTAATAGCCAACAAGCCAATCAATTCTTTAGAATAAAATATGATTACAAGAATGCTCCTCCCTGGTAACCTGCATGGTCATACTAAATTAGTGAGAAACGTTTGTCCACCAGATAGGATGCTGCATATAGCATTCCCAAATGAAGTTCACTGGTTGTGGTTCTGTGATGTCATAACCCATGTGATGCAGTGGTGGACCATCAAGGCAAGCAAGGTATGCTATGCATACCCATGGAGTAATACCTTGGTCTGAAGGAGGACACCAATTTGCCTTTTGTAATGCATCATTGCTTGGTGTGTCCCATTCCAGAAAACACACAATTCGGGCAGTTCTATTTTGAATACTCTGTATCCTTTTTAGGGAAGTTTGATTACAGTTTCCCCAGACTACATTACAGTAAGTGAAACAAAATAATATTATGTAAAACAGGTTTCAGGTTTCAATATCCAAATGATATTAACCCATACATATGTTCAAAATAATTTTGGTCTACACAAAAATAATTTACACAGTATAATGCTCAGCTAATTAACCACCGAAATAGCCTGTTCTTCATGCTAATCTGTGAATACCTGTACATACAATCATAAATGTTTTATTTGTGATCCATTCTTCAGTTCAGAGACTACAAGGTATAAAGATTTTGGCCACAAGCATAAAGCATACATACTTGTACACAATTAAATATATCATCTGTTTCTCTCTTCTGGTGTTCAAATTTTTAATTCATTATTTAATTTATCTTGTTAATTAATCCTTTTTTTTGTTAACTTGAAGGTTATATAATCTTTAGTTAGTTCTATCAGTTTTGAAGTATAACTGGACCATATGTAAAACAGCGTTTAATATCCAACTAATACTAACCTCTATTCATCCCAATATAATTTTTGTTAAACAAATAATAAACATTGAAATTATAAAGTTATAGTGCTAATTTAATCGAAACATGCACATCAAGCAAATATAAACCATTTAATGTATTCAAAGTTTATCAGATACATCCATGTTGACCTGATACTTACAAACACATACCCTCACTTGTTACTTAATATCATAATTAAAATTTATAATGCCAATGCAAATTGATATAGACTATTCATTGGATGACATGCTATAGAAATTACATAAATATTGCTGATTGTATTTTATACTGTTATCGCAATTACTTGCATTTTGGTTTATAGCAAAATGGTAAAAACTGAGCTAAAATCCATAGTCTGATATTACATTTCCAAAGCTTAAAATATTGCCTTTTAACATCATAAAGTTAAATCTTGGTGCATAAAGAGAATTTTAAATTACCTTTACAGGTCTTCAATGGTTCTGTTGCATTAACTTCTCCATTCTCTGCATAGCATGTGATGTTTGATTTACAAATCTCTTCATAAATTTTCGTAGATGCAGTAAGTGTTCCATTCTCAATCATTTCCCCATCTTTGTATATTATTACAGAAGATGGTTCGGGATGACCGTTTGCAGTGCATGTTGCAGTTCCAACTTCTGATTCAAATGTAATTGTAAGATCTATTATAATTGAGAAAAAAATCAGGTTTGGTTAATATGGGAAACTTTTTTCAAGTTTTTTTTAATACATTATAAAAAATAACTAGCAACCTTTACCTGAAAATTTGTCCTTATTGCGATAGAGAGGAAACGTGATGAAGCCACACGTTCATTTGATACAGCAACATTTAATATGGTGTTGATACAATAACTGTACTCTAATAAATGGTAATGTGCCCATTGAGATGATCAGTGGACATGATACTTGTGCATCACAAATAAAACCACAATGAGTAAAAAACAATTAGCACCACACTTTCTTGAAAAAAAAAAAGGTGCTCATTAACTGATTATTTTTCAATACGCTTGAACTGAAAATTTAAATCACAGAAATTGAACAGATAAAAGAAAATATAAAAATTAAAATATACACATACATATTACTTTCAAGTCAATTTGATTACTGGTTTTGCCATCTTTTCCTCTTAATTGATCACTTTCAGCTTTACATGTATACCTGCCACCATCAGCTGCAGTTGCAGCTTCAATGTGTATTTCAAGAGCATCTTCACTTGTAGTAAATCTAGAGCTGTCTGTGATGCTGAGTGCTTGTCCATCTTTATACCATGTGATACTAGGGTGCGGGTCACCATCAGGTTTACTACAGGTCAAGGTCACTGATTCACCTTTATAGACACTGCTTACTGAGGCAGACAGTACAGGCTCATCTAGGTCTGATAAAAATTATATTACTCAAATAAATACTTAAAACAAATCCTGTACAAGTATAAGGTTACACTTAAATCATGATTTCGTGGCTTAGTGATTTAATTGATATGAATTTTAAAACAAAAATAGATCTATCAAATGTATCAATTTGTTTACTATAATTTCCAATTTTACTGGTCCAAATTAACAATATGTTTTGATTATATCGGTGGATCCGCAGAGCATTTCAATTAACTTTAAATTTTTTATCCAACTGACTTTCAGAAATCAGATTTTAACCAATTCATTGATCGTTTAAAAAAGTTCATTTTTATATACCCTTTTTGGATAATGAAATCGCCCAAACACTGCACTGTGCAGCATGCTCAATCTGTTCATATATGTTTTTCTTACACACGCCCAGTATTAAAAATGTTTTGGGTTATGTGGTCATAAAATGGCCCAAACCAATTGATATAATTGATTTGATGACTTCAAATATGGAAATAACTGATCTGAATGAATTTATTTTCTACTATTGATGTGATGAATACATCTATTTTGAATCTACTTGGTATTCAGTTATTTTGCTCGATTACAGTACAATTTTAAAATTTGTGAACAACTTTACCGAAATGTAATAAATAGAGAATGTAAATGTTGAGATATAATATGCAATACTTACAATATACAGAGAGGATGGAAAGATCTGAATTTATGGACTCCCCGCTTGTTGTCAGTATCTGACATTGAAATCTTTTCTGAGTATCACTCCTAACTGGCTTTGTAATAACCAGGTCAGCATTCCCAGGAGTTGTTCTTAAGCTGTAACGTCCACTTACAGTGTCTTTATTATTTACAATACTAGCTTCTCCAGTGTCATTTACTTCCTTCCATAAGATAGCCAAAGGTGAATTAGTAACTTGTGAATAGTCGCACGGTATCACCACTTCACCATCACCTTCTTTGGCCACTACATCAACTGTTACAACTGACTGGCTATATACTTTTTTGAAAAAAACACACACAAAAAAACTTTTATTACTATAATTATGTAATTGTAAGTAAGGATGAGACTTGCTACAGCACAATATGCTTAACTTAAAAAAAAGAAGGAATTAGATTATTTTAAGAATATATACTGTACAGTAAATATCAAACATCAAGGTGTTTTAATTTTTGTGATTTAAAAATGTCAAAGTGTACTTCTTTAAAATTAATAAACATTTAGTTATATTCCACATTGAGATGTATATCTTATAATTTATGGATATTTTGTCTTGGAAAAATTATGATCATCACAAATTTGAATTCTTATAATTATCTACTTGGTATGGATTTATTTACCGACTTAAATATACAATTGCTCCAGTTGTATTACAAATAAAAAATGTGACTCCAAAATTGACCAATGACCATGTCAATTTAAGGAGGCACCTTTATTCAATATCATACAACCTTTACAAAACCTTGTTGGCCATAAAGGGCCTACACTGACATTAAAGTGAAAAGGCCATACAAAATAAGATGCTGGCAATATTTCATGTTCTTGTCATAAATATGAATATTTGAGGAAATTTATTATTACACAACACATGATGATAGCGATAAAAGTAAGTATGACATGCAACCTCTACAGAGTTGACACAACTTACCATTAGGTACACTCAGCAACAGAAGTAAAATCAAATACAGTAGTAACAACTGGAATAAACAATGAATATAAACAAGAAATAATATACAAATTTACACTACATTATTATTAATTAATATTTAAAGTTTCTTCATGTTTTTATTCTTCTTAGTGTTTGATGTTTATTTTTAAGACTATTTTTTATGGCTTTGAATGTGTATTGTGTTTTGTAAAAAAATTTTCCAACTTTTAAATCTTACCAAGCAAGTTAACTTTCTGTATGACAATGTTCTTGAATCTTGAATCTTTAGTAAATTACATGTGACAATGTTTTAAGACAACTGTTTTGATATCTGTTTATTTCATAATGTATAGATAATTGACAGTTAGAAAATAAGTAGAATAATATTTCTCAAATGTATTATTAAATAAGAAAAGACTTACAAATACAATATTTTTTGGTAACAGCCACATTGCCTTCCTGCAAAGTGAAAAATAATCAGGGTAGATGTAGTTATTAATAATATTACAATGGTGAAACCTAATGGTCTGCTAGGTTAACACTCCCTAGACCCATGTAATGGGAACATCCAACCATCCGAAGCCAAATTCTGACCCCACCCAAGTACAGTACCAGTGCAATAAGAGGGCTACCGCCGTGCTGCCTAGATCATCAAAGATGCCCGGACCAAACCTAATAACATTCCCCTGGCTGTTGATGATTGCCTTTTTGCCTCATAGATTCTACCCTGCCTACTTGACTATTCCTTACCATATGTTCAATATCAGGGTAAGGCTGTTTTAGTTCCTATTTTAAGCTGGAACTATTCAATGGCCTATCCAAAACTAGGCCTATATTCCGGTGAAAAAATCAGACAATTACTCAAGCATCAAAGAAATGAGAAGACCCTAATTATAGTTATAGTAGGCATAGGAGCTTAGCCTTTGGTCTTTACCTCGAGCTTGGCCAGCCTTTAAACTGTTTTTGCCCCACAACAACTAATCCAACTAAACAGAAAACACACCCATCACAAGGAAGACCGTCCACCTGTATTTGTAACAAGTTATTTTCAGCAGCGAGAGTCTGTGGAACATGTGAGTTTTTTATGCTGTGAATTAACAATCCGATCAGCCAAATGGGCAGGTCTATTTAAGGACGGACTGCGGTGTTGCCTATGTTTAGCCATAGCTGTGGAATACGCGAGTCTACATGCTCTGAATTAACGATTCGATCAGCCTACTGAGCGGGTCTCTTTAGGGACGGACCGCGATGTTGTATTTTTCACTACAATAAGCAAGCTGTTTATTTTTAGCGACAATAAACAAGTTTAAAGAATGGGCTTTGCATTTTAAACTTTACAGCGATTCCAATGTCTGAAGTAATTAATTGGAAGAGTTTGAAGTCTACCGAATTCGGAGCCCATTTCTTTCTGTTTTGTAAGCATTTGTTTTTTGCAAAGTTGTTTTTATGCAGTTAAAATAAATGACGAGACAATAAAAAAAATTAATTAATTTAAACAAAATAAAATTATTAATAATAATAATTATAATAATAATTATAGTAATAGCGCACATATCCATCTAATTTAAGATGATCAAGGCGCTTGATATGTGGAATAGGAACTCGACCAATGACTTTCTTCGCCCCTAAGATTCCCTTCGTGTCTTTGCTACCCGGTAATCGGGTACCAGCAACTCTTGTCGTCTACCACACGGGCTGTCTGTTCCAGTACACCGGGGTATCCCCCTACTCGTCTCGAAGAATGTACTGGCAGTGGCGTATCCAAGGGGGCATGGGGAGGGGGCACACGCCCCCCCCCCAGTAGCCACGCTATTCGAAAACTTTGAAGCAAAAAAAAATTAGGCTAGGCTTATGCTTATGCTGTCACGGTTAACGTGTATTCGGGAATCTAAGAAGCAATATTTTTCAGTGGGCGTGGCCACCGAAAATAGATTCCACCGCCCCACCAGTCCCCCCATTTTATAACTGCTAGGTACGCCACTGTGTACTGGGTTCTTTATAGTGCACACGAGCAATTGTATACACTGGGCCTATGGTTTATAGTCCTTCTGAGAAGACTTGTTCCACCACCAGAACCATAGGCAAGTGTGCCGTTCGAACCAGCGCCGATATTATAGCTATAGCTAACCGCTCGGCCATTCGACTCACTCCCGCATCAATATTTCCAAAATTCTTGACGAGGACGGGAGTGATAATCTAACAAATTTTTCTATATGCCCTAAAGATTGGAACGCCCTGATTATTCCTCTACCTCAATCAACAGTTCTATTTCGTCATTAGTTACATCGTTAAGGATTTGTATGAAACAGAACCGTGCATGCGTAAACCAGTTGAACTGTTCTTGTTGTTTGCTGGCCAGCATATTTTTCTTCTAAAGTTTGTTCATCAATAATTCTCAAGTTAATGATGAGAAGTGACTTGTTTGTAAGATAAGTATTATTTGTTGTAATGGAATCGCTAATCAAGACACTGTTTTCATTATCCATGGCGAATAATGACGATATTAGGATGGTTCCTCATCAATCGGAAATAGACGAGGGTGACACAGCATCCACGGCTGCTGCTGCTGCAGCAGTGAGTGAGAATTCATTGTTGTTAGTTAATGTTTTAAACTCGATGAGAAGGAGCATGGATGAAACCAATCATCTGTTATTAGGTTTAAAAACTAGAAAATCTTCTACTCAAACAAAACTAGCTTCAGAGGAAGCATTTACACCCACTTCAGAGGAAGTTACATCAGCTTCAGAGGAAGCAATCTAGCTTCAGAAAAAGCGACTGTAGGAGGTCTAACTTCAGGCCTACATCCTGCGTCCATCGTTGCTAAGGACAGTGCAGGCGATGATGAGGAAACATCGAGCGCGTCAAACGATGACATCATTAGCCTCTTCAGTGGGGATGATTTTGATAATGATGATGAGGTATCGTCCGAAGACGAGAATATTAATTCCTTTTTAGGTCTGATAAATCAGAATCTTAGCTCATCCCATTCGTCTGGACCTAAGATTTCAGAGAGAATTGCTAAGATTGTGAATGACAAGTTTTCCACTGCTATAACTTTAGAGAAACTAAAGGAAATATTTAAAAATAATATACAAAGATCCCTTGTAATTTCGAAAAAATTATTTGTGCCCAGGGTTAATAAGAAATTTGGCATGGTGTCAAGGGTTTCCATAGACTGAGAGATCTTAGGGTAGCTGTCTTTCAAGTCTCAATAGTTTACAACAGACAATGGTTTGCTCCATATCCAAAGGCTGCACAGAGGGTATAAGACCTTTTTTATCCCAGAGAGGGAGAGGCTTGCATCCTTCTAACGCCCGTATTCTTAAAACAAACTTTAGTCGAACTTCAAACTAGAACTTAATTTAGTGCTAGTTGCAACTTCAACTTCAATTTGTATTCACAAACAACGTAGTCAAAGTTTTAACTACGACTAAATCAAGTCCTAGTTTTAGTTCAACTGAAGACGACTGGCAAGCCATGACTACCAAACTAACCAATGAAAAGAGCTAACTTTAATAGCAGACGAAATTTTAGAGATCCGGTAATGCGGATGAATATTAAGCTGCCATCTGTGGTTCAAAAACGTATTTCCTCATAATACATAATAGACCATCATTCGCTTAATTAATTTTCTAAAATAATAACTATATTAGTTGTTAACATATTACAATAGAGAATTTGAACAGACACTGAAAATTTGCTTCTTTGGAGAACTATTATAATTGAGCCCGAGCTAAGGCGGCGCCATCTTTGTTGTTGTTATGGTGAAGCTAGGTGATTGCAACGCGAGGGGATTACGTGCAAATCAGGAACTATCGCATGCGGCTAGGAAAACATGTTAATTTCTCCTTTTGGAAGCTAAACTTGATGTCTCTTTTGTTTAACACACCAAAGATATATCAAACCTGCGTATACAATCGTTCGTTTCACTTTATCGTGAGTTACAAAAACATGTTTTTAGTGGGGTAAATATTTCAAATCGGCGATTTAGCCTGACCCTAGGCTGACTAAATTATCATTTTATTCGAGGTTCGCGTCATTTAGTCGTAGTGCTAGTCGAAGTTGGTTTTAAGAATACGAAATGATGTAATTTTTAAGTTTTAGATCAAACTACGACTAAAGTTTGTTTTAAGAATACTGGGGTTACTGTCAAAATCAGAAAAATTACTGAGAGCTCAGCAAAGAAAGAAGATGAAAGCCTTCGAAAACAGATAAATGATTTTCAGGTATTTGATTTTGAAGTAATGATTGAAGATAGAATCAAGCCAATTTTACAAGAGGAAGTGTATAATTTTTATGGGGGTCTGTTTCCCATTGGGAAAAATTAACTTCAGATCATACTATTTTAGACTCTATTTTAGTCCATGGTGATAAAATTACTTTCATTAGTCCAACAAAATGTTTTCTAAATATCCATACTGCGAATGAACATAAGAAGCTAATGGATCAAGAGATACAGAATCTTTTAAAGAAAAGAGTAACTGTTCGAACTTATCCTGAACCTGCTGATTATGTGTCACCAATTGTTCTGTTTTTAAGAGGCTATGAACACATTGAATATAAACATTTTAAAATTGATTGATTGATTGAATTTATTCGTTGCTCAACATGCACAAACAATATAAAAAAGATTTGAGAACAAGAAAGTAAAAATTAATGAGCATCAGGAGCGCTCATTAGCCCATTTCCAATGGGGTCCAAAATTGCACATTACAAAATTAAATTTAAAATCTTAATATTTAAAACTTTAAAATAGATATAAAATATGAAATACAAATAAATACAAAACCAGACCTCTGCGAGGGCCAAGGTTCCTATGCGGGCATTCGTAAAATATTGCACTACTGTATTTTCGATGATGTAGACATGGCAACTAACGAGGGAGTGCTCGTGTTAATTTGAGATGACAAACACACTAGCCTTTGCACAGCCATACGCAACGCATCTTCTTTGACATCTTCCTGTGGGCATATTTTAACTAGTGTTTTTGCTACAAAAATAGCTTGGTATCCCTGTTCAGTTATAAATTTATGATGTTAATTTTGTACTTTTTTGAAAAAAAAAATTATTTTCTTCAACTGTACTAATAAACACTTCAACAAGAAAGTCAAACTTCAGCAAGAACAAGAAAATATTCACATGTACGGTACATACATATATAATTAATAGGCTAGGCCTAGGCATACACCATTAATTAATTGAATTATAGTACTGTACTAAAAACACTAACGTACTTTATAAAAATATATATATATAGCCTAGTAGGCCTATTAGTAGAAAATATACAGGCATTGGCCCTTTTCAATATTTTAATTGATAGTATACAGTCTATAAAAGAGAGGCATAGGCCTAAGCCTACCCTAGCTAGCGTGAACCGCTGTAAACATCGAAAATGATAGACCTAAAACATTAACATTAAAGTTATTAAATAAACATTACAATCCTACAATAAGAATTAC